GACATGCTGATCGGAATCCATTTCGTTTTATGTTTCTGTTTTCCATAGATATTCGTCTGTGTGCATATGAGTTTGAAAACTTGGTCAGTGAATAGCAGTTGAAAAGCATCAATAGGACGGAATGCATAGTTGTTCTGATATGAAACGATTGAGCTGTCATCGAATGATTTCACACGTCTACGAATGTTCTGATTCCAATCTATCTCGCTCATGTCAGTGTCATCATCAAAGCCATGATTACCCTCATCAGAATTATCTGAACATTGAGACAGTTCAAAAGAATTCTCATCTGTTGATTGATGATCATACATATCACCAGAATCCGACGAATCGTTCGATTCACTCGAGTTGTTCTGTTCATTCAAATTATTCAACTCGTCCACATCACTTGAATCACCTGGTTTATCTGAATCATTCGACTCATTCGAGTCCTCCACTTCACTTGAATCATGCGATTCATTTGCATTGTCCGACTCCGTTGAGCCCTCTAGTTCACTTGAATCACTCGAAACATTCAAATTGTTTGCGTTAGTTATCATATTTTCTTGTTTTCCTCCAGTGAATCTAGTGAAATCTGACCGGTGCTCTCGAAAGATGTCCCGTTTTCTTATTTCGGACAGTGGTACGATAACGAGATAGACAAGTACTTACGTAGCAAAAGGTGAAAAATTCCCGATATCGAAGACGTGACGATTCTGTTCCTTATCTACTGTCAAAGCGTCATCTTCGTGACCGTTGAGGTGAAAAACTTGAATGGATGGTGGGAGACACCAATAAATGACCACAGACGTCACCAGTCACCAATTCAATCATTCTCTTTGATCAACGTCAGATCACACATAGACAAGTTGTTCATTTGCCAAACGACCTCTTAAATGGTAGTCTTCATGCAGGTTTTCCCCTACTGACTTCGTTCTGTGTTTGACACAAAATACATCAATAATATTTCATGATGTGTCATTATTTTCTATCATCAACAGAAGTCAGCTCGTTTTATCGCGTGAACTCTTCTCCCCTTTTACGAACTAGATGGTATTTTCAAAGTCATAGCTCATATGAATACGCGCGCTAGTGTATTTCTCTATGCTCTAGTCAAAATCAAATTCAAAAATCGTTTTGGATTCATTGGATATTCGAGAAAAAAAAGCCGTCAAAAAGTGTACATTATTCTGTACACTGGGACCGAAAGGGTTAATTCATCATACATGGCAACTAAGATAAAAAATAGTTTTTCAATATTTTTGATCTAACTCATGGCATAGTTATAACCATTAACCATTCGAATGCCGAAAACAGAGGTCTCTAGCTGTTTTTTGCTACAGCTTTTCAAAAAAAAACTGGGCTGTTTATTCGAAAAGGATAGTAAGTAATAGTTATGATGAACGCTGTCTAATCTGAAGTTTTGTCACAAGAGAATATGAAGATATAAAGATCTGAGAATAACGAGAAGTATCCCTATCAGTAGAGTTACACTTACAGTTATTTAACTTGAACAGAACTGGAAAATCGAAGACTTGAACTGAAAGGGGAAAACCATGATCATTTGACTGTGGTTCTGTAACTGTGTTTTTACCGTGATAAAAATGAGCTGGTTGAAAAATAACTAGTGCATCAGACAGAACATGAAAATTGGATCAATATTTCTTTAGATGTGGTAATTCCGAAAACGAATGAAAACATAGGTAATCAACCACGCTGAATCTCGTGGCAATGTTTAATTTTCAAATAAGTTCCAAAAAGCAAGTGAAAGCCTATATGAGGTGAAATAACCATTTAACGGTTATTTAACCCAGTTCGGAAGATTTCTAGAAAACTTTTTTAAAACCCAAAGTATTTTCTGTTGGTTTGTATAGCTTTTATTGAACTCCTCAGTATTAAGCAGGTAAAATAGAGTACATCTTGATAGTCTGACGCAATGTGGATGGGCTTTGACTGAGTTATG